ATCCAGAGTAGCAGCTTACCTACGAAATAGGCCAGCAGCACCACCAGCGTGATGGAGATGAGGATAGCGCTAAAAGCGGCACATTTCCAGGTACAATACTTGTATGGCTTCTTCAGGTTAAAGGCGGGCCTGGAAAAGGTGCTTCTGGGCAGGGGACGAGGGGGTGGCGAGTAGACCGTGCTGGATGTCAAGGGGTACCCTGGCGAGGTGGTACAATAGAGTGGAGACGTTCCTCCAGGTTTGAACAGGAAGTGCCTGTGGAATGAGAAAAGGACGGGTCAAAGCCGGCGGATGCCCATCCACAGCCCTTCAGGCTCTGAAGCCTCGCTGCAAACACAACCGAGCCCAGATTAGCACCATGCATCAAAGAGGATGGAAGGTGGGGAAGGGGAAAGAAAGAAAGGAAGAAAGGAGAAAGGAAGGGGTAGAAAAGAAAGAGGAAGGAAAGAAGGAAGGAAAAAAAGAGAGAAAGGTGAAGGGAAGGAAGGAAAGAAAGGAGAGGGAAAGAAAAAGCAAGAGAGAAGGAAACAGGAAGGGCAGGGAAGGGAAGGAAAGAAAGAAAGAGGAAGGAAAGATGGAAGGAAGGAGGGAGAGAGAGAAAGAGGAAGGGAAGGAGGGAAAGAAAGAGGATGGAAAGTTGGAAGGAAGGAAGCAAGCAAGGAAGGAAAGAAAAAGAGAGAGAAAGAGGAAGGGAAGGGAAGGAAGGAAGGAGAAAGAAGAAGGGAAGAGAAGGGAAGGGAAGGAGGAAAGAAGGAAGGAAGGAAAAAAAGAGAAAGATGAAGGGAAGAGAAGGGAAGGAAAGAGACGAGAGAAAGAAAAACAGAGAAAGGAAGAGGAAGAACAAGGAAGGGAAGAAAAAAGAGGAAGAAAGGATGGAAAGAAGGAAGAAAGGAAGGAAGGAGAGAGAGAGCAAGAGGAAGGAAAGGAGGGAAGGAAAGAGGAAGGAAAGTTGGAAGGAAGGAAGGAAAGAAAAAGAGAGAAAGAAAAAGGAAGGGGAAGGAAGGAAGAGAGAAAAAAGAAAAAAGAAGGGAAGAGAAGGGAAGGAAGGAAAGAAAGAAAAAAGAAAGAAAGAAAGAAAGAAAGAAAAAGAAAGAAAGAAAGAAAGAAAGAAAGGAAAATATAACTATTAAAAAGGCAGAATAGCAACCAGACTTAAACCCTTCCGAGGGACTGAGGATCTAGCTGTCAGCCTGTTTGAATTCATTGTTCTTTTATTGTTTTACATGTGTTGGAATAAAGAGAGGGAGAATTCGATTTCAAAGGCATTTTCCTTGGTTTGATTGGTTGCCTTCCAGGAGCCATTGATCATGAGTTTATAGGTAGTCCTCAGCTTACAACAACTCATTTAGTAACTGTTCGAAATTGCAACAGCACTGAAAAAAGGTGACTTTTCACGCTTTTCACACTTTCACAGAATCCCCACGGTCCCATGATCAAAATTCAGGTGCTTAGCAACTGGCATGTACTTATGACGGTTGTAGTCTCGCAAAATGGGACGAAGCTCACTTAACAAGTGCCTCACTTAGCAACTTTGAGCTCAATTGCAGTCTTAAACCAAGGACTGACTGCATTTCCTCTAGAGGAAAACTCCCTCCGTAAAAGGAGCCATTGAAGGAGCAAATGTCAGGCGTGGAGAAGGTATTAGATATTGCCTTAATTTAAGAAGAATAAAATAAAACGGGCTAGCACCTGCAAAGCTACGGGGCCCACCTCCACTCTTAAGGATTTCTTTATGAGTCACCGTGGCGCAGTGGTTAGAATGCAGTACTGCAGGCTATTTCTGCTGATTGCTGGATGCCAGCAGTCTGGCAGTTCGATCCTAGCGTGATTTTTTTTTTTAGGATGCCTGTAATATAAGCCCTGCCTCCCAAAATAAGCCCCAGGTAAGATTGTCAGCCAGATGGGACGCATTTTAGTACCGCATTTTTCCAAAAAAAATAAGACCTAACCAGAAAATAAGCCCTAATGCGTCTTTTGGAGCAAAAATTAATATAAGACCCGGTTTTATTTTCGGAAAAACATGGGTACTTTAGGATAAAATGCATAGAAGGACGGCAATTGGACCAGACTCCAGGCAAAAGAATGTGGAGGGAAGGGTGACCGTGGCCGAATTGGGATTGAACGGTTAAGAAAGGATTACTTCCTGGCCTGAACCTTTCGTTAAGTTTAGAGTTGACGAGCCTGGGATGCCACGGTGATTTGAACGCAGTATTGCAGAACGTAGTCCCACCCCTGGGGAAACCATATTTTCGCAGCAAAATGAAGAGGGGAAAAACTAATGGCTGGAGTCACTTGAGTGCTTGCCTCTCCTGAAGGATGTGTACCTGTCCCAACAGGATCCGGCAGGAGAGCCATGACGCTCCAGGTCCCATCTGTTCAAGCACTGATTCACAATCCTGGCTACTTTGAGACAGGCGGACTTCAATTCCCAGCATTCCACGCTGGCTGGGTGGGGAATTCTGGGAGTTGAAGTCCACCTGTCTTCAAGTGGCCAGGGGTTGAGAAACTTTGTGTGAGAGAATGGCCCCTGGAAGTCTCAGGTAAGGTAAAGGTTCCCCTCGCACATAGATGCTAGTTGTTTACAGCTCTAGGGGTTGGTGCTCATCTCCGTCACAAAGCCGAAGAAGAGCCAGCGCTGTCCGAAGACGTCTCCGTGGTCATGTGGCCGGCATGACTAAACAATCTTCCCACCCAAAGTGGTCCCTATTTTTCTACTTGCATTTTTATATGCTTTCGAACTGCTAGGTTGGCAGAAGCTGAGACAAGTAACGGGAGCTCACGCCGTTACGCGGCGCTAGGGATTCGAACCGCCGACCTTTCGGATCGACAAGCTCAGCGTCTTAGCCGCTAAGCAAACCACGTCCCGTTTTATTTTTATCTAGTTTTTAATCGAGGTCAGCATCGTGTCTTTGAGAAAAGGTGGCTGTGTGACAGATTAAATAAATTCGTAATAAATAAGGATTTCTTCACGATTCCTCACACCCCTTCAATTATGGAATTATTTGCTTCGGTGGATAAAAACAGTGGAAGGCAACACTCCCTCACACTGATACAGGGTGTAACAAGAAGGGAGTAGGTTGGTGAGTATTCAAATGAATCCCTGAATCTTAAAAAGACCATGGAGATGATTGTTTTATTATTATTATTATCGCTCCATTCTTGCCTGCCTTCATCACGGTTACTCCCTTGGGGCCAAAAAAACTAATAATTACCTATTTGTCATTAAATCTTACTCAACTGTAGCCCTGATGTTTTTTCGGAATGCAGCGTAATTCTGAGGCACCATATACTGATTATTATCCTGTTATAATCCTCAATGTATGTACAGCCACTTGTTTATTTTCCATTGGAAGTGACTCGTGACCGTTTTTCACACTTATGACCTTTGGAGCATCCCTGTGGTCACACGATCAAAATTCAGGCCCTTGGCAACGGGTTCATCTTCATGACGGTTGTAGTGTGCCTTGGGAGCGTGTGTCACGTGACGTGATCCCCTTTTGCGACCTTCTGATAAGGAAAGTCAATAGGGAAGCCAGATTCGCTTAGCAACCGTGTTACTCACATAACAACTGCAGTGATTCACTTAACAACAGAGGCAAGAAAAGTGGTGAAATGGGTGAAAACTCACTTAACTATGTCACTTATGACAATATGGAAAACTTGGAACTCAATTGTGATTGTAAGTTGAGGACTACCTGTCTAGTACGTTCTTTCTTTTCCTAGAGGGGAGGGAGGGAGAGGGAGAGAAAGAGAGATAGAGAGAGATGGGGAGACGGAGGGAGAGAGAGAGAAAGAGAGATAGAGAGAGAGGAAGGGAGGGAGAGGGTGATTGAGAGAAAGGGGGAAAGAAAGAGAGGGAGAGAGAGAGATGGGGAGAGGGAGGGAGAGAGAGAGATAAAGAAATGAGAGAGAGGGAGGGAGAGGGATTGAGAGGGAGAAAGAAAGAGATGGGAGAGAAGGAGAGGGAGGGGGAGAGAGAAAGAGATGAGAAGGAGTAAGGGAGAGGGAGAAAGAGAGAAAGAAAGAGGGAGGGAGAAAGAGATGGGAAAGGGAAAAAGAAAGAGATGAGAAGGAGGGAGGGAGATACAGAGGGAGAAAGAAAGAGGGAGGGAGAAAGAGAGATGAGAGAGAGGAAGGGAGGGAGAGGGGGATTGAGAGAAAGGGGGAAAGAAAGAGATGGGAGAGAGAGGGGGGAGATGGAGGGAGAGAGAGATAAAGAAATGAGAGAGAGGGCGGGAGAGGGATTGAGAGAGACGGAGAAAGAAAGAGATGGGAGAGAAGGAGGGGGGGAGAGAGAAAGAGGGAGAAAGAGAGAAAGAAAGAGGGAGGGAGAAAGATGGGAGAGAGGGAAAAAGAGAAAGAAAGAGATGAGAAGGAGGGAGGGAGATAGAGAGGGAGAAAGAAAGGGAGGGAGAAAGGGAGATGGGAGAGAGAGAAAGATGAGAAGGAGGGGGGGAGATGGAGAGGGAAAAAGAGAGAAAGAGGGAAGGAGAAAGGGAGATAGGGAGAAAGAGAGAAAGAGGGAAGGAGAAAGAGATGAGGGAGAGAGAGAGAGACAGAGAGAGAGAGATTTGTTTCCCATACAAAAGGAAACCCCAAGAGCCACAAAACTTGGGTAGGCGTGGCTGGGGAGGTATCATGTGACTCAGTGGGGGTGAGTGACATTGAGTTGGCCACGCCCACCCAGGTTTTGTGGCTCCCGGTCTTTTGTTTTCTGTGGGAAATGGGTACAAATGGCTCTTTTCAGCGTTCAAGGTTGCAGACACGCCCCCCCCCTCCGTCCTAGGGAAACATAAATACAGAAAAAGTGCAGTGGAAGAGAATAAACAGCATGGTCAAAAGACAAGAAGTTTGTGCTTTTTTCTTTTCTTTTTCCTGTCAAAGTTTGGATGACACCCTTGGTAAAACATCCGATTAGGCAGACTGAAATCCACACCGATTCAACCATAAAACCCCCGGGCCCATCTTCCACGTCCTAGGAAAACGGCCGACGTTGCCTCTGGCGGTTAAGCGAAATGATAATCAGGGCGAAGCCAAAATGAGATGGCATGAATTAGCATATTAACGAGGCTGCCATTAATATGTACAGGACAATTTTAAATGTTCCTGGCACCAGAAGTGCCTTATGGTTTTTCATTCCGCGGGAAAAGAAAGGGAAAGGTTGGATTAAACGAGACAGGAAGTAAGGGGAGAGGCATCAGAGATGCACTGGGTTCTGGCATGCAAGATTAAAAAAATAAAATAAAAACACAAATTATCGCATTAAGCATATCAACATACCCATCACTGTAAGCACCGTCATGTCGGGAAGCGGTAAGAATGTCCATCTCAATGAAGTTGTCCTGTAATGTCTCTAGGAATGTCTGCTTTGGTATGTTTCTATGTACATGTGGAAACACGAATGAAGGCAAGTGAGACATGCAGCTATGAAGCGTGAGACGCCCTCACAAAACCCAAACAAAATGGTTATAAGGGTGGCTGCGCATGGAATTAGAATGACGGTCCATCGGCCCGTATGCATAGCGCGTGGCGACATATAGAGGGTATACAGCGCTGGAAAGCACCCGCTCCCGTCCTGACGAAAATCTACTTCTTGTGACCTATCGGACGCCGGCCCCCTCCAGGAGTCAAATCAGAGGAGGAGGAGATGTGGGAGTCAGGATCAGTATTAAGGCAAGCTGAGCTCGGAGGGGGAAGAGGGAATGGAGCTGGCAGAGAGAGAGAGAGAGAGAGAGAGAGAGAGACAGACAGACAGAGAGAGACAGAGACGAAGCCTGGGCCGTCCATCAGCCCTCAGATGGAGAGTCAACAGCTCCCAGGTGGCTGATGAGGAATAGGAGGAATAGCTGGGTACAGTGCCTGATGCACGGATGCACAAAAGGCAGAGAGGAGAGGAGAGCAGTGGAAATCTATAGGCCGGTCCTTGGGACGAAAGAGCCACCGCTGCTAGCGAAGCCCCACCCTAGCTCTGGGGATAAAAGGCAGGGGGCGCAGATGAATAGATGTGGCAGACAACTATTCATCACCCTGCCGGATGGACTTGTTAGCCTGCGGTGAGAGAGAAACTTTTTGCCGGCGCTGCCAGCGCTCCTAATAAAGGAATGTTTGAGTTCACTTCAGAGGGTTTGTCGTGTTTGGGGAGCGGTGAGAACACTATCCTCGTACGCAATCACAGTGGAAAATATAGGCATCACTATAGGGGCATTCCAATGAAAAGCTGGTTGGCCCCCGTACAGGTAGTCCAGTTTGTTTAGTGACCAAAGTAACAAGGGCACTGAAAAAAGCGACTTTCACCCCTTGCGATCGTTGCAGCATCCCCACGATCAGATCATCAAAATCCAGACGCTTGGCAACTGACTTGTACTTAGGACGGTTGCCGTATCCCGGGGTCATCTTTTGCGACCTTCTGACAAAGCAAGTCAATGGGGAAGCTAGATTCACTTCCCAGCAGTGTTGCTAGCTCAACAACCGCAGTGAGCGACTGAACCAATGTCGCAACAAATGGTCAAAACTCACTTAAAGACCGCCTCGCTTAAGCAGCGGAAATGTTGGGCTCGATTGGTGTCCTAAGTCAAGGACTGTCTGTAATTTTAAACACAGATTGCTGATCTTGGGACTATCTCAATGAAAGTTGATAATAGTCACACCCTGGCGACGCAAAACAAGGTTAATCTGGAATTTTCGGACATTCACAGAGTTGGACTGAGATTATTATCCAAACAGGTAAGAAAAGGCCAGTGGCAATCAGATTTCAACAGACCTTCAACAGAAGCGATTTACCTTTATTTAGAGGTTAATCTAGAATTATCTAGAATTCTAATTATCTAGATAATTCTAATTATCTAGAATTACAACTTCATCTCTGGGCATGCATTTTTTTTTTAAAATGTAAGTTATTTTATTGGTGCCTTTAGATTTAATTGCTTTAATAATGCCAACCTAGGAATGCAGACGTATTAGACTTGGATTATTCTGATGTACTGGACATCTTAATTTCATCCAGTTTCACCCTAGGAATGATTGTGGAGGCTTTTGTAAGAACACAGAATATGCCAATCAAAAACATCAAAGGAACCTTCAACAATCTTCAATTCGATCCCAACTTTCATTCTCTTTGGCTACCTTTTAAGTTTCGGTCCCAGCTTGAATTGTTAATGCCCGAGGCAGTCTTCCAACATACTTACCTTCTTCTATCAGTGGAACTCATAATTCAATAATAATAATAAAAAAATTAAGAGTTGCAATTTGCACTCTGAGTTTACACAACAGCTCAAGAGACAACACAGACAATAAATGTTACTTGGAGCCAAAGGCATGTAATGTAGACAGATAACCAAGCAAGTGGATCCATAGAGAAGTGATTGGAATGGGTTGTGTCAGAATAGTCTTAACTGGGTTAATTGAAACCCTGACTGTTGGGCCCTTGCTGCTGTCTAAACTTGGTTGTTCGCTTGCAGACGTTGCATTATCCAACTAGGTAACGTCATCAATGCCAGCGAATCTGCAAGAAAGGAACCAAGCTCGGAGAATGCTGTCTTTTTTCCTTATTTTTCTTTTCTTTTCCTCTTACACTTTCAATTCTCCTTGGTTTTTCCCCGTTTCCTTTTCTTTTCCCCCATTACAGGCAGTCCTCGACAGTTCATTCCAATGGCACTGATTCACACATACGACCGTTGCAGTATTCCCATGGTGATGTGATCAAAATCTGGACGCTTGGCAACTATTTATGACAGCTTGCAGTGTCCGAGGGTCACATGATCTCCTTTTGAGACATTCTGACAAGCAAACTCCATGGGGAAGCCAGAGTCACTTAACAACCGGGTTACTAACTTCACAACTGCAGTGATTCACTGAACGACTGTGGGACAAGGAAAGTCGTAAAACTCACTTACTTCACAATGTCTTTTCTGAAGAACTGAAGAAGCTTTTTGGATGAGAAGTGAAACATCTTTGGGGGAAAAATAAAACCAAGAAAGCCCAGTGTCAACCTTGGGAGCCATATTTTACTTGGAAGCTTCGAGGCTTTAGCGCCTGGGAATTTGGTAGGGGGGATTTCTTAGTGAAGATTAGACTCAACAACATTCTTTCTTAGAAGTCAAGGACAAGTCGCCCTGCATCTGGAGAGGACTATCTGGAGGGATGATAATTTGATTGGGCCATGTGATAGACTGATGGGTGCAAGGGATGGATCAGAGGTGGTATTCAGCAGGTTCTGACCAGTTCTGGAGAACCGGTAGTGGAAATTTTGAGTAGTTCAGAGAACCGGCAAATCCCACCTCTGACTGGCCTCTCCAACCCCATCTATTCTCCGCCTCCCGAGTCCCAACTGATCGGCTGGGTCTTCTTTTGTTGCCTTGCACAGGAGAACAGAGCTGGAAAGCAGGTTAGTGGGGTGGGGAGGGAATGGGGATTTTGCAGTAATCTTCCCCCTGCATATCCACCAAGCCACGCTACGCCCACCAAGCCACGCCCATAGAACCAGTGGTAAAACTTTGTGAATCCCACCACTGGGATGGAACTTTGAATTTCTCTTGGGGAAGAGAAAACCCAGAACTCTCTGATTCAAATTTTCCTAGATGTGCCAATATGACAACTCTAATAAAATGGAACTTTGAGAAAATGTTTGCCTTGGAGTTTATTGGTTTGGAGGTTGGAAGGCTGACATTTCAGCTGCCTTTTTTTTTTTTAAAAAAAAGCACCTTTGGAACAAGGTGACCGAGAATCTCCGTAGACGTTCAACAGGCATGAATTAGAATTAAAGAGCTCGACAAACGTTAAAAATCAAAGCTAGCTGTTGTTTGCCTTCACACACTTCCTAAGGACCCAGGCAAAACTTGTCTGCCAAAATGGAAATCATACAGAGGAATTTTTGATGGATAAGCTGCCAGCTGGCATAGCAGGGAGGACACAGATGAAAATTTATCAGGAGTTAAGGATCCTTGTCGCCTTGTTTGCAGCTACTGTTTTCAAAATGAAGTTGTGCAGGAACTGCCGATATAAAAAATGAGATATGAATTCTGAACGATGTACGCTAGCTTTGATGCAACCGTCAATAATGAAACCAATACAAGGAAATGAGGTGAGAAAGCGAAAGAACTGGTGGGGAAATGTATGTATGTATGTATGTATGTATGTATGTATGTATGTATGTATTAAAGCAGAAAGAGGAAGAGAGAAGCAATTTCCAAAATAGCATTCTACACTACACTAGGTTTCTTTTTTTAAAAATTCTTGACAACTATAATCTTTTGGGAGGATCTGCTAATTCTGACATTTGGAAAAAAACGGGGTCTTGGATGAAAATCCTGTTGAATTTGAAACTGTATTGTTCTACTGATGAAAATGTAACTGGATTGGGGTAGAGAGAGGTGAGGTTAGGTTACAGGATGGAGGGTTGTGTGTGAATTTATCTTCTCTTCTACAGAGGTTGCCTGGCCTAGCTGGAAAAAAACTGCTTTTGCGGCAAAGAAGTTTTGTAAGATTTTTGTACTGCTTTTTGAAAATTTGTTTGTAGATTTGTCTTTCTGCTATTTGTGGGCTGACCCTGAGTCGTTTTATCAGTTGAGATGGGCTGACGCACATGAGCAAGCAAACAGGAGGGAGGGAAGGAAGGAAGGAAGGAAGGAAGGAAGGAAGGAAGGAAGGAAGGAAGGAAGGAAAAGAGAGGGAGGAAGGAAAATAAAATAAAGGGAAGGATGGATAGATGAATGGAAGGAAGAAAGGAAGGATGGAAGGAAGAAAAAGAGAGGGAGGGAGGAAAAGAGAGCAAAGGAATGGATGGGTGGATGGAGGAAGGAAGGAAGAGGAAGGAAGGAAAAGAAAGTAATGGGAGGGAAAGATGGATTAATGGAAGAAAGGAAGGAAGGAAAAGAGAGGGAGGGAGGGAAGAAAAGAGATTAAAGGAATGGATGGGTGGATGGAGGAAGGAAGGAAGGAAGAGGAAGGAAGGAAAAAAGAAAAGGAAGGGAGGAATAGAACAGGATAGAATGGAAAATTAGACTAGACTAGATTTTATCCATCTCTGTGGGGAAAAAAAATCAAACTTTCTTCTATAGTCAAATGTTTAAAGCTGGATTCATAATTACAGCTCTTATTTTCAGTGGGTTATTTTCAACTCTTGATTATGAGACGGTGACAACTCACCACAGCTAAGTCACTACAACCAACTTGCTGCAGGACAACTCCCCATGGCTAAGAGTTACACTAATATTGAAGAAAGAGTGGAATCGAATCACGAAAGGAAGGATGCCCCAAGGAGGGGCGAAAATGAATGACAAAAATTAAAATAATATTTTAAGATTATTCTAAATCATATAAATTGAATGGTTGAATTGTCCTGCAGTGAGTTGTCCCATATCAAGTTGGCCAAGGTGAATTGT